GCACCTAGCACTCTGTATATAGACGATCAGACCTGGCCTGAGGGCAGGCACAGGTAGACAGACCAATCCATGACCTATTCACGATCCTGCCAATCCAACAGGGTGTCTAGTCTAGCATATATTGTGCCCTGGTTGAGTCGGACGGCGCCGGGATTGGACAGCCGCATCATTCATTTCGGAAAGCAAGCAGGCAGAGAACGACATCACAGCGTCGGGCTGAGGGATAGAATGCCAAACTGCGCCCGCCTTTTGTTGACGAAGGATTCGGCTTGCCGCTATGCCCTCGGTGGTTATCGGATTCGACCATCTCGCCCTCAAGGCCGAGCGAACTACTCAGTAATGCTGAAGTATGTATGGGTTTAGGATTGTTGGCAGTCCTAGTAATATAGCCTTCGACCTCTGGGAATGGGAAAGGATGGACGAAGGGACGATCAACAACAAATCCGAGATTAAGTCGTTTGCTCTCGCTTGACCTTCCTAACTATATCGACCCTGCCAGTCGGTGAGCGGTCACGCGACGTTCTCGCCTCTTTTGGGTTCGGTTTCATCTAACTCCTCCTACAGGACAGGATCACCCTCACTACACAGAGAACGCGTCTTAAGAGCAAGTATCCTTGTGTGTAAAAGCTCAACGATTGCAGTATCTGAAGCCGCTGCGATGGGAATCAGAAGGCTCATCGTCACTCGACTTGTTCAATTCGCGATCATCTACTGCGCTCCGACGCGATGTGAAGCGAGATCGGGGGAGGGGTTGAATTCGGCAGGGCTTTGGGAGAGAATGACGGGTTATATGGGGCAACCATGTAGGTATCAGCTGAGGTTTGTATGATCCGAAATCACTTTGACACCTCTAGGCGTGTTCTACCCGATCATCACCTGGGCCATCATTTTCACGTTCACGGCCCTCCTGCTTCTATCACTAGGTTTCGGCTCTATGGGAGTTGTCGCAGGTAGGCAGTCCCTTTCGATGCAGAAAACCTGTTTCGCTAAATGCTGACGTGGGCTAGGCTCAACAGCTGCGGCTTTCCAGTCTTGGATGTACGGAGGCTTCACTCCCGCAGCGGGTGTTTTTGCGACTTTGACGAGTCTGGGCATGCTAGGTTTAGCAAACCCAGTTTTTGCACTGATATCGGCATTCGTTGCCACACTGGGGGCATTGCTAACGTGGGACCTACAAGGATGTACCTTCCGCAGCTGAGCATCAAGGTTATCTTCTCACTGCGAACGCCAAGAATGTGGGTCTGAAGAATCCTGGTGTTTGGTGTCGGAGCGTGCAAGGGGTCCTACACGAAGCTCGCCCATCTGACGTGGTATGCTATGTGACCATCAAGAACGCAAACTGGTAGAGATCATTACAGTTCAGGGAGATGAAACCACGCCGATGAACGAGACTGCAGTTCGGAACCCTTGGCATACGAGAATAGGCCATGCTTTTGAAAAAAAAAAAAAAAAAAAAAAAAAAAAAAAAA